TTGCTTGTAGGTTGGAGGCCACTTCTATTAGGTTGGAGGCCTTTGCTTGCAGGTTGGAGACCATTGCTTGTGGGTTGGAAGCCTATTAGGTGGGAGGCCTTTGCTTGTAGGTTAGGTTGGAGGCCTTTGCTTGTAGGTTGGAGTAGGTTTGCGTCCTTTGCTTGTTGGTTGGAGACCTTTGCTATTAGGTTGGAGGCCTTTGCTTGTAGGTTGGAGGCCTTTGCTTGTAGGTTGGAGGCCTTTGCTTGTCGGTTGGAGGAAAATGCTATTAGGTTTGAGGCCTTTGCCTGTAGTAGGTTAAAAGGCCTTTTGCTATTAGGTTGGAGGCCTTTGCTATTAGGCTGGAGGCCTTTGCTTGTAGGTTGGATTCCATTGCTTGTAGGTTGGAGGCCTTTGCTATTTGGTTTGAGGCCTTTGCTTGTAGGCTGGAGGCCTTTTGCTAAAAAGGTACATATTGTCAAAACTGACATTATGGTATATATTTCAAAACTGGCAAATTAAACTTGTCATGTTGGGTCGGTATGTTCGTTGCACACAGCTTGCCATGTTGCCACAAACCATTCAAGAAATTGCTCCAATATGGTTACATTTGCAATGGCCAAAACATGGCAATATACAAGAAGCACCTGTGACCATGTGTTTATTAGCAATACTTTTCAATATGTTGTGTTAATTTTGACAACATATGTTTTTACCATTTGCATACATGTTGATATCTAATTCTTTTGTATATGCATGAACAAGGGTGCACTGCAAAATTTTGAGAGCTCGACGTTATGCGGGTGTGGTTTTTACGTGCTTTTGTGGTGTTTTTCTTAGATTTTGTCATGTTTAGTCAGAGTTTCCATGGTTATAGTCTAGATATGTTCTTGTGCTCCTGTTTCCTAAACAAAACCAACTTTTCTTGTTAAAAAAAACTCTGGATCCAACTCTACCCTTCCTTGCCCATAAGCATTCTCATTGTTTCAAAGGTAGCACTTTTTGGGCTTCTCCCTCCACATTCTTTATGAAATGGAGAGAAGATCATTATCTTGAAACACAATGTGCCCACCACGCCCAACAAAAGTTGAGAAACTTGCTTAGTAGTACTGGGTCTGGATGACTGATTGGAATTGGGCTTTGCATGGCCTTCTTGACGCCCATACCCATAATAAGCCTCATCCTCATTCTCAAGGTCATAGGGAACGGAACCACTCTGCGAGCATTGGGAGTTCACATCCTACTTTTTGGGTTTCTCCCTCCACATTCTTTACGAAATGGGTTTCTCCCTCCACATTCTTTATGAAATGGAGAGAAGATCATTATCTTGAAACACAATGTGCCCACCAGGCCCAACAAAAGTTGAGAAACTTGCTTAGTAGTACTGGGCCTGGATGACTGATTGGAATTGGGCTTTGCATGGCCTTCTTGACGCCCATACCCACAATCAGCCTCATCCTCATTCTCAAGGTCATAGGGAACCATTCTGCGAGCATTGGGAGTTCACATCCTATCCCACAAGTTCGATTAGACCAATCCTGCTCATCTCCACTGTTCTCACCCAATGGCTCTTCAGGTCTATGCTCCATATCCCCGCATCTACGACGAAATCTTCCAAAGAACCTTATGAAGCCCATGGAACGATCCAGCCATAGATACACTAAGGGTCTGAATTGGCTGTGTGGTCACTACTCATTCCCAAGCTCATGAAGAACCTTCTCTTCACCCCAACCTTCTTGCCCACACATAGACATACATGAAGTCAGGTTGTACCAAACCTGGCACCAAGGATATTCTTTCTCGTGATGCCACCCAAGCTCAAAACCTCATTGGACCTCACCAACACCCACCCAAAAGTAAACCAATAAATTGTGCCAAAAATATGCTCTACCAATAGCATGAATCATGAGGATCAACCAATGTTGTACCCAAATGGTTCTGATCTTCCATTGGGCCACCTAGCCATGCACACAAACCCATTCCATGGACCCCATCCTCATTGATTGCCTAGCAAGTTTCCCTCTCACATGGTGCCCATGTGCTCTTGGAGGCCAAACAAACCCAATCAAAGCGCCATCCATATTGCGCTGCTGTCTGGGGCATTTGCTCAGTGGCTTGTATAGCAATACAATTTGCTCAAAGTCAGGATCCCAATCTCTCATGCAGGTGTTGCGTCTACGCAGCCGCCTTTGGTCTCAAATGAAATTGCATACATACAGCCACAACCCCAATGCCAGCTGTTTGATGCACCCAATGCTTCATCTCATCTCATCTCATTTCATCTCATCCCATTTCATCCACATTGGAAGTTCCATTTTCCTATGCTCTCTAGCTATATGCCCATCTCTCTCTTTCATTGGATATCTTAAGCCATCAAATCAAGACAATCTTCCACACTCCATCATTGAGACCATACAGTATAGGTATCCACCCTCACCACATAGAGCCTACAGTATATACAAGTGCTTGCAGGAGCAGACAGTTGTGTCTTCAAACAGACGAGAGGAATATAAGAAGTTGTGGTGGAATTGCTACTCTTACACAGGTAGCTATAATGAAATCAATAATCTTGACTATCTCTAGCACCTGGGCCACTTCCAGCTCGTGCAATTGACAATGAGTCCTCAATCTCCAGCAAGTGGGGCCTGGGCCTAGGCTTCTCTCGCCCCCTAGAGAAGCCCAGGCCCAGGCCCCAGTTGCTGGAGATTGAGGACTGATTGAGATTGGAGGTCTTGGAGACCAGATCTCCCTCATAGAGGTGATGACCTGATGTTGTATGATGGGATGTCGTGGACTTGCTGATAGATGATGGTTGATGGACTTCTGTGTGGGAATCAATGAGAACTAGTATGTTTGAATCAGATTGATGAGAAATTTGATAGATTACAAGTCCACATTTTTGCTAGACACGTTCTTCAAAACAACTAACATTTTCAAAAAACACAGAAAACCACACATCACAAAAACGCGTTAAAACCACACCCGCATAACGTCGTTTTCTGAAAGTTTTTGTGGTCAGTTTTCATTTATCAAAACATGTTTTCAACCTATTTTTGTGAAGTTAGTAACATAGTGGTAACAATGCTAACTGTTAGCAGAGTTAGCAGTGTTAGTGTTAGCATTGTTATTTTAGTTAGTTAACTTTTACTAAAAGTTATATAATAGCATATATGTGTTAGCATTGTTACACCATAGTTGCAACTATGTTACAGCTATGTTGTGACCCTGTTAGCTAACTCTCACAACTAACATAACCTGTTATAAAAAAGCGGACAATGTAAGTAAATGACGGACATGTCGCGACCCTCGATCTGTGGACACCGTCCGGACATGTCCGGACAACTTCCGGACATCAACCTTTCCGCCTTGCCGCCCACGTATAATGTGAGTTCACAGCCTCGCGAGACGTCAGGCAAACGCTACGGGCCGCCCGAACCCAGTGACTCACACTCCAAAAGGGTAGTGCTGGAAATGTGAGAACTCACAAATGATAGAAAATATATGAAAAAAGTTGAAAACATGAAAAACAAGCCGCGCTAGCTTCTCTATCTTCTTTATCTTCTACCGTTCGTTTTCGTAGAAGTTAAAACATAAGTTAGTATCTTCAACTTGACAATCAGTTAACTTCCCTAACTACCGTTGTAACTTCCATAAGTTTTCTACAAGTTAGTGAAGTTACAACCCTAAGTTAATCATGTTATAACATATGTTAATCAAGTTCTAACTATAGTTATAACTTAGCGATCCTCCTCGTAGTGGGCCGGCGCCCGGCTGTTAGGCGTAAGCCTTTAAATAAAATGGTAAACCATGGTCAGCCAGTTCACTCGTGGCTTTGGGTGCTTTGGAAATAGGAGCCATAGTTGATGTTTATTGGGATTCTACTCCCCCGCATCTTCGGCTGAAAAACACTTTCACTTCAGTGCAGAAGCCTTCCAGTTGTGATGCCATGCCATGCCGTGTCGTACCGTGGCGTCATGTACGAAACAGGATTAACCATGGTGAGCAATTTTCTGGTCCCCAGTAGGCATGGGACAAAACCCAAACATCTTAGCAGGCGGCTGCTTTCTTTATAGCCGCCCTGATTTGGTGCGAGCTACAATACTTTGCCCTTGATTCGTATATATATATATAGTGACAGTAACTGGGCAGGATGTCCAGAGACTGGACGACGCTTGGTACAGGTCAATGTTGCTGTGCCATTGAGATTGGGCTGCGAAACTGCTAGGCAGGCCAGCGCGGTGCACTCGCTCCTATGAGAGTTCCCGCTTCACTTGTGTTCGACATGCTCGGCTTGGAGTATTTTCAGCTACGCTTTTAGAGGACATCTCGTGCAAAATGTGCGTTTGAGGTGTCATTTTCGGACGAACCCTTGTGCGACATGTTCGTTTTGAAAGCTGGACGTGTGACTGGCGGAGGAAGCAAGAACATGAATTAGAATTGCTACTAAGAGGTTGCCAGAAGGCAAACACACAAGCCCAGACTGGGAGACAAACGCAAAGAACTGCTACTAAGGAGTTGCCAGAAGGCAAACGAGCACATGAATAGAATTGCTACCAAGAGGTTGCCAGAAGGCAAACACACCAGCCCAGACTGGGAGACAAACGCAAAGAAAGGCTACTAAGGAGTTGCCAGAAGGCAAAAAACACCAGCCAGACTGGGGCACATGAATAGAATTGCTACTAAGAGGTTGCCAGAAGGCAAACACACCAGCCCAGACTGGGAGACAAACGCAAAGAACTGCTACTAAGGAGTGGCCAGACTGGGAGGCACATGAATAGAATTGCTACTAACGAGTTGCCAGAAGCGGACGCACTAACTAGCCCAGACTGGATTTTAATCCACAAAACGATGATGACAAAAACCAGCAACACAAAAGGCAAGCGCAACTGGCAAAAATTATCGGTGTCCTAAGCTCCAGTTGCTTTGTATCTTCCTTGTATTTTCCTAAGAGAAACACACATACACAGACCACCTGAACAAATCACGTCAACCAATTCCCGCATCCGATCGATATATCCGGCCTAGCATTGACCTGGTCCCGATACTCAGCCCACTCTGGCAAGACCTGTCGGGATTTTTCTCCCCAGGCCACCCAAACACTCCGTCGTTGACCCGACCGGTCCCTGCAAAACCCGATAGGTTGTAGAACACCAAAAGCCCTCTATGCTTGGGGAAAGAAAACACAACAAATCTGGGCCCCAACTAATCATCTGCCGAGTTCAGAGCCCCCCAAGGTTGCTGGCGTTTTTTGGGTCGCTGGAGGGCTGGGGTTCACTCCAAGCCGAGTTGGTGCCTGAATTGTTGCCCGTTTTTGGGCTCCTGGCCTATCGTTTTGGTTTGGTGTTTGGAGTGGGTGCCAAATAAGGGATGCTAAGTCTCCCTAAGGTAGATTCACCATGTGGGGAGGAACAACAAAACAAACTGTAAGGAAAACGAGAGGAACCTTGAGTCATTTCTTCGGGGAAGAGCTTCAAATCCGGATTTCGCTGGAAACGTCCAAGCTGAAGGTTTTCTCTTTGTGTCGAACGATCGGAAGTTGGCGTGCCCTGTCACATGCACTCACTGGATGAGACTCAAATACCATCAATTTCCATGTGACCTCCTGGTACTTTTTGGATTTGCTGTGTGATCTAACATGAAAAGTCCTATGATATGCTTGGTTCATCAAGCTCCGGTGCATACGTCATCGCAGCAACACTCGCTTTCTGGCTTATCGTGTGGCCTCCGTGAAAGTCATGTGGAACGTCTTTCAGCCTAGAGAGGTGAAGTGACCTGTACTAGGACTCACCTGAGGTACCCAACTGGGATAGTCTAAGGGTCCTTCAACCTCTGTTGGTTTGCAAGACTTAAATTTAGTCCATTTAATCAACCCAAACACTCCGACTGGCATATTTACCGCCCCATTGAGGTGGTGGTTTGAGGGGATCGGCATATATGACAGACGTGCCTGGGCAAACGTTAGGTGAGCCGCTCGACGTCAAGCTACATACCGAGCTACGTCCTCGTCTCTGGGCCACAAGACTCTGGATGTGCTTTGCATCCAGGAACAACCCCCATCTGAGTGAACCAAATCTTTGATGACGGACAGGGGAGGGGACCCCTGTCAAACCTCTTTCCATTCTGAACCAACACAGGGGATAAACTCCCTCAGTTTCCGTGGAAAATCAACTGTTAACCACACCTTTTTTTGAACTCGTTGATTTCAAGTGGGTCCCCAAAATACCCCGAAAGAAAGGTTTGTAGATCCATCCACTTTTCATTCATGGGGAGGCGGATCTTGGTCCAATCCTCATAGAGATCTTAGAGCTGTTTAGCGACGCAAATGGCTTTCTCCCAGCTGGCATCCCCAGCCTCTACTCTCCTTACTTCCTCTTCTTCCCATCCCTGTTCCGTGCCAATCCACACAGGCCACAACTCCCCTTCGATCGATGCTGTTTTCACCCCGGAACCAACACGAAGAACTGCGCCACCAGTTGGACCCGCCGTCGCCCCCTGAGCTCCCGCGCCAGCAGCGCCTTCAAGGCCTTCTCCGCGTGGCTCTCGCCCGCGGCGGCCAGCAGAGCGCGCAACGCGGCATCTGCCGAACGCGGAGCGGATGGGGCGCGCCGTTCACGGTCGGAACCGCGGATCGGAGGTGGAAACACCGAGTGGCACGGGGTCGGAACGCTTCAGGTTGGATAGAGCGGTCCGAAGGTGAAGCAATGTGAGAACGAGTCGACCAAGCTGCACGTACCTTGGAAAATGGGTAATTATACAAGCACTGTACCTATTATTTATGGGCCGGGCATGGACTATTTTTTACTTTCATAAATCAATACTATATACTAGTATACTAATAATCACTTTGGAGGGTCCAGGAAGATGTGAGACGGGTGAACATGATGGACACTCCCTACAGTCAACGGACGCGAACGTTTTGCAAACTGCTTGCACCGTCATGAGGTGGATCTGTGTTTTCTTCAGATGTTGGAGTTTGAACAGACTCAAGATCAATGGTTTGCTCACGTGGCCACTTAGGACTCGATGCCATCAGCTCAGCAAAAGCTCTCCAGGTCTGCTAGTGCGTGAGCCCAAAATGTGAATCCATATCCCACAAATGACCTGTCTGAAACTGGCGCATGCACCGAGATTTGAGGGGCCAATATCCTACAAATTCCATTCATGGAGCCTTCAAGGCATGATGTTGCAAGTTCTGCACAGTTTGACATCCAGTTTTCCGTTTTCCTCAACGGATCTCCGGTGCAATGTCAAAAACCGAAACGCCATTAAGATCGTGTCACAGGTCGACTGTCCGACATCGATACAATTCACTGTCCGCTGAAATCAGATTCGCGATGTGCACTGATCGATCACAAAAGTAAATGGCAAGGCCCCCTGACCATTGGTGATTTCAATTTCCATGTTAGTGGCTCGCAGTGAACATATATAGTGTTTCCACCCCATTACCTCTGCACAATGTGGATGCAGAATAGTTTCAAAGTATTCGACCTCATCGGGGAAAATTGTTTAACCAATAAACGATATATGGCACCTACAGTATCAAGATGTTTCAGTGTGAATCTTGACATGTCTTTGTTTTTTGTTTGGGTATGTTTGGGTCATGTCCCATTGTCTCAGGTACGGCCTTTCGTCAGGTGAAACAACACAAAGCAGGCAGCATGGGTGATCAAACATTGTAAAATTCACTGCTGGTCAACCTGAATCAAATGCATCGTGTCGAAAGACATCAGTCTCTCTGGAAAAATCGCACGATACATGAGGGGACTTTTGACCAGCGTCTTCGATACGTTGTCGTAATCTAGAATATACCCCGCCAATTTGGACGGTAAAAATTCTTCGTGTGGAAGGTGAATTAACCAATAGTCTACAGTTGCTTCGCCAGCTCCAAACTTCGAATTTTGCCTGGCGACATGTGTCGGCTCAAACCGTTTCAGCACAAATTGTTTGCTACAGTTCATATATATATATATACCTTATGCACACACGCAGAAGTAAAAATAACACTTCCTTTTGCAGATTTAGGTGGTGAAGTTCAACATAAAAACAGACAATTAAACTTAACACAATTCTGTTTCGGGCACATTAACTGGTTCCAGGACTTGAAGCACGCCATAGCAATTCACCTGATTAAGCCGTCCATGTCTATGCTGCGACATCTGTCAGCTGTTTATAATAAGCCTCTGTGCCGCAACATACCACGGAATATATTCAATGTACGTATATATTAAATATATATATAATAGAGTATCCAACTCTTGTTGTCGGCGGCCGGTGGCTGGTGGCCGGCGGTGGCCGCTAACCGATGGCCGGCGACCGGAGAGGGTGAAGTCAAAGCTGGATAAATTATGTTGAAGAGGCTGCCGACCGCGGCTTTGTCCGTTGGGGAAGCACTTCACAAGTGCACCTTGAAAAACCACGTCGCCCAATGCCAATGCGCCTGACCGAACGGTTTCTCTGCGCCGTCAGCCCTGTTGCCGAGAGAGTGAATTATATAACGCGTTCCAAAGTTCGCCCCAAACGGCGCACATGATGTTGCTGCTAAGCTATAATCCACAGCCGATCAAGAATCTCTCGACCGACTTTGTCCACACGCACTGGCCGATCGCCCTGAAGGTGTATTTTTTTTATTTCGACCTTTTTTTTCTGAAATCGACTTTTTTTTTCCGATAGCATTTTGTAAAAAAAAACAATTGGCTGTTTCCCAGGTCCCTGAACCGCCTCCGCACCCAAGTCACGTTTTCCCTCCAGCTGGCGTCGGCCTTGGTCTTCACTGTCAGTAGCGCCTCGAATCCGAGGCAGCCTTGGCCAGCCACTTCAACAGACTCATGTGCGCCTCGAGTTTTCGCTGGGTCCAGACCACCGCCTTCCTTTGCAAAACCATTTGTGCTGCTCCTCGGCCCGCCAATCGTTCTTTGCGAGCAGCTTTCCGCACCAGGGGCACGGTTCCTGGCCTGAGGCCTTGAGCGCTCAGGCATTTGCTTGACGTGCGCTGGTGCAATTGCAAGGCTGGCCAAGCATTCCCTCTGCGGTGGCCACTTTCCGTTTACAATGACGCCACAGATGTCAAACCGGACTGTTTCCTGTTTGCTGTGTGGGGGGTATGGGGACCAGAGCTGCCGATTAGGTGGCTTGACCCAGGACTTGTCTGGCTCAATTTCTTCCTTCTCCTCTCGGACATCCTCATATACAGCAGCGAAAAAGCACACACTTAAAGCACGAAGCGAGGGATTAAAGCATTTCGTACAGCAGCACGGAGCTACTACTAGGCAACTACTACTAAACTACTGCAGATTCGGAATTCAACTGGTTGGAACCCAGCTTGGCGAGGGGGCCGGGTGGGGCTGGGTGAGAAGGGCCAAGGGTCACGGGTCTTTCATCCCCGAAGCCCAGCTGACTGGTTTTCTGGTGCCAGGTCAAGTGTCTCACTTGTGCTCGTTTTTTCTTGCTTGTTTTTGTCTGCTATTTTTACCGCAAAAAAAGCGGAACATGCAGTAAAACGTGTCCCAGAAATTGCCGCCACCAAAAAGTGCCAGAAAGCCCGGCTGAGTGCAGAAACCTCAGGGACCATGTAGATGTCAGCCACCCCAGAATTGTTTTGGAGGGCCGTACAGTTAGTCACCCAGTCACTCACAGCTACAGTAGCAGTAGTTTTGCTTGGGAGGACAGGAAGTACAGGACCTAGGAAGTACAAGGTGCGAAATCCATTGCTTTATTAAAAATAGAATCAATTCAGCTCCGTGCTCCGTGCTGCAAGAAACAGCAGCACTGTCCTACCTGGTTGCCCTACTACCAGCCATCATATCATCATCATGTCATCTTCCCAAAGTAGAGGCAGCAAAAGCATGACCCAGCCCAAGTTCGACGCTTTGGCAGGCACGCCTGGAGCGGCTTGTTTAGCAGACCAGGCCTTGATCCAGGACATACAAGCTGAACGCACCTGGCGAAGACGACACCGGTTTCTTAACAATTCAAGTACGGAATCTTTGCCTCCATTAGGGGCGATTTTAAGAATATGTTGTGTTTCATCGGTGACTCTTCAGAAATCACGTAATTAAGCTCCACACAGATGCTTTCAGGGTCCCATGTCAATGTAGGTTGGCCTTTACCATGGATGGTCATGGGTCTCACACACCGGATGTGATCAACAAGGGCTTGCGGCTTGGGAAGTGCTTGGAACCGATCCTCAACGGGGAACGTGGTGAACAACTGGAGAACCCCAAGTGAAACGCGACCCCAACCGTGAAACCCCCCCCGAAGTCACAGCGGCGGCAACGCGGTCGCGACGTGAACAATGAGAAGCAGCTCTGAGGTCGAGGTGACGCCCGGCGCCTCCTTCACCTCACCACCTTGACTCCTTCACCCCCCAAAAAAGCCTCCAAAACAGTCAGCGCTCTCCAAACCATGTGTCAGAGCAGGTGTTTTCACTCACACCTACTCCAAACGGGTATGGTCAGACGTCCGGCACGGCGGTTTCCAACCACGGTCCCTGAACCAACCTGTCAAAGCGTTGGCAACCCAGGAGTTACATCGATCCAGAAAGGAAATCAGCGGTGAACTGAACGAACTCCAGGAGTTACATGGAGGGCCTGGGTGGTTTAGTTCGTCTCATGGAGGGCCTGGTGGCCGTGGATACTGGGCAGTGGAGACTTCATCCCACTTCGGATAGCGCCCCGCCCGCCATGGAACTACCTGTGGTTGTTTTAGGGGTGTCCCCAATCTTCCACGCGCCACATGTTGAACCAACCAAATTCTGGGGTTCTGGGGCGCCCGATTTCCCTTCAAACCCAGCAGCGTCATCACCGGAGAAGAAGAACCAACAGCGTCACTTCCATTCCCATCCATCCCACAGAGCCACGTCCAGCCACTCGCCACCTCACTGTTGGCATCTGCAAGGCCGATCTGCACCAGCTCCGGCGGCAGGTCCTCTTCCTGTGTCTGGAACAGGTGGCTTCGGCCAAGAAGCAATGCAACTGTGGTCCATTGGAATCAGATCAATAGGTACTAATGCAGTACCAGGTTCCTTGAAAACACTTAGGACCTCGGACTATGTCATCCTAGCTCGCAGTCTCCATGCTTCAACACATGACATGTTCCGTTCCAAAAATCACCTGACCACCGGTCAAGCCTTCCTTTTTCGACAGAATGACCCAATTGGAACATCAGTCCACAGTTGCACAGCTTCCTTTGAGAATTCACGGAGCAACTTCGACACTCGACGCATCTTCTCTTCCCTTCGACGCCGAACAGCGGAGAATTCACGAAGCTGCTGATCGAAATATGTTGTTGATGCTCATCGGAGGTTCCTCCCTTGCAAAAGCCATCGGCCATTCCGATCCTTTCCAAAGGAATGGACAAACCCTGCTACCCGAGATGGCAATGATCCACTCAGCTAGGTGAGTTGTTTACATCGCGGTAGATGCGGGATGTGGTGCAGGAGAACACTTCCCTCCAAATCTACTACTCGCCCCCGAGGTGGATGTGGGGTGGAACATCCTTTGGACGAATCTGCTTGTGATACTTCTGTAGAAAAAAGAACACATCTAAAAACGAGAGGGTTGCATGATGACTGGGGTGAACCGTGAAAATAAAGAACAAAACTGACGCTAACAATCAATGACCCTGAAAGCTGAAGGTTTGGTTCACGTCCAAGTTCCCCTGCGATGCAGGTTCCTTCTACTGTCCTGGGTGGTTTTCCACAAAAAGCATACCCAAACCCATCCGAGTTTGGTGAATAAAACTCTTTAAGCTCCCCCTCCTCCCCAGAAGCGCGCTCCTGAAGCGCCGCTTCGTAGAAGCGCGCTCGCACGCGTGGCGCGGCATCCAAAGCCCGGCCACTGGCCTGACAGGGTCGACGTGGCCCGTGGCCTGCCAGGGTCTCCAAGCCCTCGGTCTAAGAAGAGCTACAGCCAAGCTGGGACATTAAAGGGAAACAGAGATGTTTTTGGAGCGGGGTTGATGGTGCTTGATGATTTGATGTTGATTCCCTATGTCATTCCACATACCGGTGCGTCCGACCGTCCAAGACCACCGCCGGGCTGTGGTTTTGTACCGTCTCCCTCACCGGACCCTCCGCTGGGCAGTGCATCCTTCGACCCTACGGTTCGTACCCTTAGACATGACCCGGGCCCCCCCCCATGTCAACTCCGAGCAACTGAAGTCGGAGTTGACTTCCTCTAGGTTCGAAAGCCGCAGGTTGGAGGGTGGCAGGTTGGACCCATGAAATCTCATAAAACACCAAAATAAAACAAACAACGCTCAGTCAGAGTTCACCCATTGGATCTAAACTTCCTATAGTTCTCCATCACCCATCACCCCTCCACTCCCAGCGCCAACGTCGTCCTCCCAGCGCCTCCCAGAGTCGTCCCGACCCGCCCAGCGCCAGCAGCGCGGCGCCGCGCACCGCCGGCGTCAGGTCCAAGGTCAGCTGCACCAGCGCGGCCTTCGTCTCGGCACCTGGTCACGGAACGCGGCACGCGGAACGCGGGAGACGGTCACCAGCGGAGGAAGTCGGTCGCACCCGGGAGGCGCGAGGGGATGAGAGGGGGCGGCACTTCAGTGAGAGGGTGAAGGGGCTCTGCAGCTGGGCATAGATGGGGGTGGAGGGTTCAAAGGGACGGAAAATCAGACATGGAGAGATGGAGTGGATACGGAGAGATGGATGTGAAAACCGGTGATAGGAGGCACAAATTAGTTGGGTGATAATGGATGATGTTCATCTAACCTCAGGGGTTGCAAAGAGTTGTAGTCGGGTGGCAAAGATCAAGTCGTTGGTGGTTCACTGTGCCCATGGTACTGCAATTATACTGTATACTGCAGCATGTTCCAGTCGCTTCTAAACACAAAATAGGACAGGGGTGGGGCAAGTGAACTCATGCACAGAACATGTTGAGGGCATCTTTTGGAGGATTGGACAATCACTTCCAACTCACACAGTGGCACTTGATCCTTGTGACTCACAGTGGCCCTTGCAAAATTGACTTCTTAATTTGACCACGGTGATCCACATTGATGATCATAAATGTGACAAACCCCTGACGCGAAGAACACACTTTCCTCCTGAAGTAAAGAATATCATGCGTTCAAAGCACGGGACGGTCCCTCGTTGGGTGTCGATGTGCTCTTTCCATGCAGCCGGTGGACCCTGAAGTTTGGCTGTGGCATACACGTGTTGGTCTTCGGATTTCATGGTAATCCTGACACCGAACAACATTCCCATCTTCATCACCATGATGATTTCAGGCAACTGTAGTCCTTCAAAGTGTTGATTAGTTGTCCAAATGTTGATGTCCAAATTTGTCATCCTTTATTTCCAATGACAACATATAGTCAAAGAGGGACATGCAAAGTAGAAAACTCTCCCCGAAACCGCCTATACGGCAATGAGGCAACTGAAATAGACCTGGGAACTTAAGAGGTATAGATGGTATAACCTACAACGGTTGACACTGAGTAAGATGGCACCAACAACCCAGTGTAAGTGTCGTCCATCATAATGTTAAATTCATCCATAGAACCCATTTGCCTCTTTGCCATCAATTATCCAAGTCCTGCCCCAGCCCACGATCACACCAAAACCGACTAGTCCACAGCGCCGCACCTGGGAGTTTCTGCAAACCGCGGGTGGCCGCCAAGCGGATGGCCGGAGTTTTGTCCTGCGGACGCTTAGCTTTTGGTTTCAGACCACGACAGCCGCATCGTGGGCCGCATCGTGGTTCGCCCAAGGTCGTATAATGTGCACATCTGCACATCATTTTAATAAATTACAAGTTGTGAACCTCAATATCTCCTGGCAACCGAAACCATGCAATAATAGAGACTCAAGGAAAGACCCGTTTTTTCAGCAGGTCGAACATGGAGTGCGAGTGAGTCATTGATAAAACCATTTTTCCAATAAACTGAATGCTGCCAAGCTGCATTAATGGACAAATAGAACAGTTTTAAACGACCAGTCTGTTATAAACGACTGTCAGCAGCTCTCCCAGCAAGAGACCCCAAACAATGTGTCTATATAAAGGTTTCAGGATGTTTCAGGTCTAGAGGTGTAGAAGCAGAAATGGCGAGTTTTGGGGTGTCCTCTACGATGTGTTTCATGTCTTCTTCGATGATTTTCCTCAACCTATTTTTCTTCTGCTTTTGATCTTCTTCGGCTGGATCTTCATGGCCTTCCAGCTTCTTGATCGATGTCTTGTTTCGCAAGCGTCTCCGCAATGTCAATCCGTCGAGCAACTCTCGCTACAAAGCAATCCAGTGGGCTTCAACTGGAGGTGTGGTGAGCTTCTTGAAGATGCTTCTAGTCAGGCGAGGCGGCTCTCCACTTTTGACTACCCAATGCCCATGATTTTCTGCTGAAGGGCATAAGTATTGGAACGTCTCCATCGTCGGACTGAATTCTTTTTCCCACCACCTCTTTCTGATCACCACTGGCTCCATGAAGCTGGGAAACTCTGGCTTCTCATGTAGTCGGTGTTGACGAAGTACTTCATTCACATAGCGCACTGCCCAAGGCCACCATTTGTGGTCCACTCCTCCATGGAGCAGGGCTTTTCTGGTCATGGTCTTGACCATCTTGACACAAACTTCAGCTCGACCATTTGATTGTGGCTCATCGCCAGCTGTCCTTGTGATCAGAATGCCTCTCTTTCGGCACCAATTCGTGAAGTGCCCAGCGAACTCGTGCCCCTGGTCCACATGGATGTGGTTCACATGATACCCGTCCATTCGAAGCTTGAGGATGAACTCCATCGCAGCTTTCGTCACCTCCACTGATTTCTTGGACCAGATCGGCAGAGCCATTCGAAACACCCTCAAATCATGGTCCTCCGGAATTTATGACGAACATTTCAACTTCAGGGCCCACAAAGCGCTGCACCTGCCACGAAATCGGCACTTCAAGGTCCACAAAGTACTGCACCTGCCACGAAATCCGCACTTGAGACTTCCTGCGCCTGCCACAAAAATTCAACTTCGATGCATCCAACGTGCACAATTAAAATACTGTGCCTGCGATGAGAAGTGACGACATGACATCTTCAAGCTTCATGATGTCATCAGAAAACATTTTCCACCACGCCACATGCACCACACATTTGGAACAATTTCGTCACTTTTTGAGCACAATCACATCTTAACGCAATTGTAGCTGAGATGTGTCGCAAAAACACAGCTTTGAGGCATGAAACACAAACCCCATCTGCAACAGCGACATCCAACACCTCCAACATACCACCAGGAACGCCAATCCAGCGAAGGAAACTGAGGATCTCACGAACACTGCATCCGCGCAGCAAATCATCCACCACACTTCAACATGTTAAACTTCTACGCTATTTGGCACGAATCTGCCGCTTCACGCTCCCTCCAAAAGCTTCCCCGACTGTCACGGCCTTATCGTCGATCACGTTCGGCGGCTCGCAAACGGACAGCTGCATGCGGACAATTGCGAACGGTAGTGAACACATGAACCCTTCGCTCCGCATTCGTGAACAAGAAGTCCTGCATGGGGAGACTGGAATTGCCGGATTGACCTTTTTGATGCATCGTTTGTCAGAGATAGTGGCGGATGGCATTCCTCGAAGCAACATGCGATGCCTAGAAGGACAAGGAGAAGCAGCCTAAGGAGGCTCGCAGCCTGCCTTTCGCCTGCCTGTCTCACCTATAGCTTGGGACCAGCATTTCACCTCTCTGTTTGAAACAACTCCAAGAAACTGCCTTGATGGTGCTAGAAGTATGTGAGCTGATAGTTCCCATCACCATGCGCCATGCGCCATGAGCATGGTCAGAACAGAACAAGTCCCAAACACTCCATGTATGGCATATTGACCTACATATAGGGGTGGTTTAGGGGTCAATGTATGTAAATATGGCACACATGGAGTGTCTGGGAGTCATGAAGGGGTGGCAACAAAGAATTGAACACGGGCTCCCTGTATTTCGCACACTCCATGGAACTCAAACACCTGCCTACCTTGACCCCTCTGGCTACTGTCAATCTCCTATCAAGCTCCTGTCCCCCTTCCAACACCCCAACAAAAATGTAGAGCTCAGGATAGCTGCTCTGCTCAGCCTCTCTCTTCCCTCACTCCTGTCCACTTCCGTCCTTCGCAAGATCTAACAACGCCATTTCTGCAGCGCCCAGGATCAAGCGCGACACCTGCGCTATCTTCAGGACGCGTTTGCTCGATGCGTCTTCTCTCCACGGTTGCGCATGTCTTTTTTATGCAGTGCATTTCAATAGGCAAAGTTTTGGGGTTTACATTTAGAGGTTCCCCAAAAAAGGCAAGAAACAACCTGTTGAGACTTAACTTAGGGGGATATATCTTAGGTCCTTTGCTAAAGGTTTAACCTGTAGTGGTTTAGTTCAGAAATCCCTTCTAAACCAAATAAGGACTAAGAGTACGCCTGTGTCCTATATATCTATCTTGTGATTTCTAATGCATCTTAAGACTTAAGAGAGGATTTCTACGCGTCGATCGCCTCCAAACAAAACCATGTTCAACGAATATATTATATGATTCTGTTTCACATCGTGTTCCCACAAAAAGCAGCTCTGGGTGACACAGCGACACCCCGAACTCCGATGCAGTCCGTCGAAGGTGATGAAGTTCGTGTCGGGGGAGTATCGAACAGCATCCGCCACAGTGGCGATGCAAACCGGTGGTTCTGATCTGCATCACAGGGAGTCCCAAAACAGAACCCCAAACATCCCAACGAACACACAACTATGGACGGGGTAATGGTCTGCAACTCTTCCAGTCCCATGGAGTGTCTGGGCATGTTTCTTCACAAGATGGGGATAGATCATTTACATCAATATATCATAGCCACTATAATGCAGCTAAAGAACATGAAAGCAACACATGTTTCCAGACCGCAGGAGACCAGTGGTGCCGACCCCTCATGAAAGCCGATCCATGCAGCTTTGAACGTTTCAAGCATCAACACCCAAACATTTCAGATTTCACTTCTGCCTCGCTCACTTTTCGCGGTCCAGTCTTTGCT